ATTAGTAAGTAGTAATTAAATGCCGCTTTCTTGGTGATACTTCCAAGCAAGTTTTCTATTTATGCTCGGCTATCAATCGTGTTTTCCATGAAAATCATTTCGAAGCTATAAAATGTGAAGTCTCTCAGCTAAATAGTTTTGGATAGCTACGTTCCACATGACTAAATCCTTTCAGTAGAAGGTTGGCGACGCAAACGTCGCGTTACCTTGTATTTTTATTGAACACGACTTCGTTTTGATACACTACGTGCTTGTGTGGGTGTGGTTATGAGTGTGGATTTGCATATATAGTGTGCATGTAGATGAGCTTTTTGAGAGAATAACACCCACACTCATCTTATCTAGCATCTCAGTAGCTATGAAGTTTTTTGTAGCAAGTGTATACAAATAAGCCAGATAATCAACTGAAATCAAAATGTTGGTTTCTTGTTTCGTTTAGTACTAGACGTTATTTATTTATCTTTTGAAACTCGACTAATCACTGTCTACATTTGTAATTAAACTTAGTATTATCGTTATGATCATGTGGATTCTGCCATCCGTTGGTCGTGTTATCTTGTTATGCATTAGATATTTCCACGGACACCTCTTCGATGTTTCCTTCCTAGGCTTCCAGCGTTCGCTGATAGACTCGATGGTACTTTTTTTTATATCGTTGTATTGATGTGTATTTTAAGGATAAGTAAAACAGGTGAAGATTGGAGCATTCGTAACTAAATGAATAATCAAGAATTTTTCGATATTCTACATGACTGCGTATGCTTTCAAAGGAACGTAGCGATTGTATGAAAGCTTGATCAAATTGCAGCAATATGTATTCGAGAATGTTAAAATTCAACCTGTTTTTGTGAAATTATCACAAACATCGTGAAATAAAAAAAGAGTTGTTAGCTGAATAACCGAACTATGAGTAGCTTCGAGAGCATAAAAGATTCGGTAATTTTTATACGAAGCCTTCTATAATTTCATAGATTCGTTAATGGTTTTGTATATGTACATTGTAAGAAACCATTTTTGGTTCCGTAGAACATCTAAAGGCTCAGTAGATATAATATGACGTCAGCATTAGTTCCCCAACTCGTATAAAGGTTCTGTATACATTATACGAAACCGATGATAGTTTCGAAAGTCATTAAATCGTTTCTTATACATTGTACGAAACCAATAGTAATTTCGCCCATCATGTGAAGGTTTGGTATATCTCATACGAAACCATTAATAGTTCAGTATAGAATCTAATGGTTTGGTATACCTTATACAAAGTCACTCAATATTTCACCAATAATCTGAAGGTTTTGCGTTTATGTTACGAAACTATTAGCGGTTTCGTAAAGCGTGGAAAGGTTTCTTATATCTGATACGGAACCATGATTCGGTTTCTTACATATTATATAGGTTACGCACGCATTTTACAAAACCATTGAAAGTTTCGTAAAGTATCCAAGGGTTCTGTATGCGTTGTAGGGAACTATTCATAATTTCCTAGGTGATATAATGGATTGGTATATCTCTTACAAAACCATACCCAGCTTCGTGCAATATGCGCAGTACTAATGAAGTAGGTACGGAACTATGAGTGGCTTCGTAAAGTTAACACGAAACCTTCAGATGGTCTACCGAACTGTCAACGGTTTTGTATCAACAATGCGAAACTATCAAGGTTCAGCACATGATGAGCTGAACTTTGAAAGGGTTTCGTAGAACAACGCCAAAGCCCTCTAAAGTTTTCGGAACTTAAAAAAGTTCTGTCGGAAAATTGCGAAACGATTTTTGTACCACGGAACTTAAAATCGTTTCGTAGAAAAGTGCCGAACCTTAAAAGTACGGTAAAATACCTATTTTTTTACAGTGCATTTTGACAAAATTTCACTGAAAATTGGACATTGTCGAAATTCCCATGTCCAGATTCCACTAAACCGTTCAAAATACACCCCACACCCACACTCTAAACGGAGAAACAGTGGGTAAGACTAACATATAGATTTGTATTATCGCTAACCAATAGGTTGGTCTTCTTGTGAATTTAACAAGAAGGAATAATAGTTTCGGCTTGCAACTGAAAAGCCACCTAATCAATAAGATTCGTATGGAATAAATAGAATTTTAAGAGTTTATAAAGTATTTATTGACTACAGAGGGACTCGTAATAAGCACCTGCAAAAGTTGTGTAAAAACGATGATGGATAGAGCTAGTCATTTTGGGAAAATCCAATTAACTCCTCATAAAGATAAATGTTTTTGTGTTGTTTGTATAAGCTCATTTACAAAAAGATTGAAGTCCTCATCAACAGTACGGTGATTAATAAAGCAACAGCGTATATATAAACGACCATTAAGTGTTGCTGTCGAAGGAACAGCAATTCCAGATTGTTGAATATCAGATACAACATTGTAATTTAATTCGTCAATGTTTTTTTCATCCACCAGATTATCTGGCTCAAGACGAAAACAAACAATATTAAGAGTAACAGGTGTATTAATCCTTATCCACGAATAATGACTTAAAAGTGATACGAGATATTGAGCTTGTTGACAATTTTCATGAATTTTCTGTCCCAAACGTTGAATTCCATGCTCTTTTAATGTGAACCAAATATCAAGGGCACGGAAACCTCGACTCAGTTCAAGTCCGAATTTGTAATATGAATGATCATCTTCACTAATATCGCGTGCTGTCAGATAACTATGATTGGAAGAGAACGTTTCAAGTTGAAGTATCCTATTTCGTATTAATAGGCAACCAGCGTCAAACGGAACATGTAACCATTTATGAAAATCGAATGCTAAGGAATCGGCATGTTCAATGCCATTTAAACGTGGTTTCATTTCACTGTCAAGAATTGCTAATGCGCCAAATGCTCCATCAACATGAAACCATAATTTATATTTCAAAGCAAATTCTTTAAGAGCAAACAAATCATCAATTGAACCTGTATTTACAGTGCCGGCATTACCGATGACACAAAACGGCACATTACCAAGTTTAAGGTCTTCAGATATGGCCTTTTCCAATTGATCCAAGTTGATACAGTAGTTAGGATCAGTTGGAATAAGACGCAAAGCACTGCGACCTAATCCAAGTAATTCGAATGCTTTGGAGACGCAAAAATGTGTCTCTGATGAAGCATATCCAACGAGACGTGGACCGCCGATTATGCCATTAAGACGGACATCACGATTGTTTCCGACTGCATGATTTCGTGCAACAGTTAAGGCAACAATTGTTGCCATTGACGTCCCAGTCACAATCAGAGCACTAGATGTGTCAGGAAAGTTGAAGATTTGACGACACCAGTTAAGTACTTGATGTTCAACTAACGTAGAAGACTGAGCGCCACCTACAGCGTTCGAATTCATCGTTGCTGTCATTAAATGAGCGATAACAGTTCCAGGAGTGCCATTTCCAGCGGCCCATCCCCAAAACCTAGGGTGAACATTGCCACCAGAATAAGGAAGAATTAGTTTTGTAAAATCTTCGCAAACTTTCTCAAGGCCTTGTGGTTTTTCAGGTAAAGGCTCGTTTATTGAGTCACTCACATCCTGTGGAATTGGAACATCCCTATAGACTGGTCTGTGTCGTATTTGTTGAATGAATGAAATCGATTGGTCGACCATATTGTATGCTAAGGAGCGGAAAGCAGACCAGTTCTCTGGATCAAAGGATAAACTGCTAACTTTTGCTTGGCACTTTCCATCATGGATTGCTATATCAGGTTTCTCTTGATCATTAATATTCGCTGATTTTGTTTCAGAAATTTGTTTGGATGTTTCTTCCATTTTCTTTAGTTGCCAATTTTGTGTATAAAAATTATTGACAGTTTCTCCACAAAATTCTCGTCCAATTATATAAAGAAAAATAAGTACTTTCTAAAAATATGTCTGTAAATTAATTTTCGCTTATATATAGTTTTGATATTTTTGTTCTATCCTGGTAGAAATGATTTTCTATGTATATTCATCGTAAAATGTACTACGCTCAATAGTCTTGGGGTTACAAATACCTACGTAGTTATAAGTGACTCGTGAGTCTGATTATCTGCTTTATCTCTTTTGTTAATCGATTCCGATTAGGGATGACCTATTTCATTGGGCGAGGCTTAATTAAGTGTATGGCCTATTCCATGGGGTTTCGACCACAAAAACACAACTATGTTTGAATCGACTGAATATGTGCTTATGTTGTAGAACTTGGTGAGTTACTTTTATGGTAAAAAATTCATTTTAAACAAACGTTCCTTTCGCGAGATATAATGGTTGCAAATTTAAGCGGAAAATAAAAAATCCGAAAAGCAGCTATAAGGACGTTTTTATCAATCTTTTTTGGAAATTAATTCTAATAATATAATCTTGTAGCTCAAGATACGGTGTAATTCTCAGCATGGAAACATTTGTTTTTATCCTTTCTGAAATAGGTTGTTTTTAGAACTACAATAAAGTTCACTACAAAAATGATAGTGCCTAAGCTTAACATTTACGAAGTTTTTAAAGCTATATTTGGAAATCAAGTGGCATAGCAGGTTTCATAGAGAAGATTTTGCTCTCTGAAACGTGGTATCAGGAATTTCAGCACAACTTGAAATGGTCGAAGATTGCATTCTGAGATGTTTAAATATAGTTAAAAACTGGGATGATCGAAAATCTCAAAATACAATTATTATGTCGATTCATATATGACACCTGTAGTTTCTGTATATTGTCGGTACACTCAGAATCGTTGACATGATATAAAATGCGGAATGGTTAAAAAGAAATTTTGTTTTTATTCTCCTAAAAACTTCTGTATACTTGTTCAGTTCATTATGAATATCGATTGATTACTACTTACTAGAGCGCTATTTTATGAGAATACTAAAGCTGAAAACTAGCTTTATCGAGAGATATTCTATAAAACCTATATGCCCTCAATCTGTATTCTAGAGTGCTCACAGACAATATACAGAAACTACAGGTGTCATATATGAATCGACTGAATATGTGCTTATGTTGTAGAACTTGGTGAGTTACTTTTATGGTAAAAAATTCATTTTAAACAAACGTTCCTTTCGCGAGATATAATGGTTGCAAATTTAAGCGGAAAATAAAAAATCCGAAAAGCAGCTATAAGGACGTTTTTATCAATCTTTTTTGGAAATTAATTCTAATAATATAATCTTGTAGCTCAAGATACGGTGTAATTCTCAGCATGGAAACATTTGTTTTTATCCTTTCTGAAATAGGTTGTTTTTAGAACTACAATAAAGTTCACTACAAAAATGATAGTGCCTAAGCTTAACATTTACGAAGTTTTTAAAGCTATATTTGGAAATCAAGTGGCATAGCAGGTTTCATAGAGAAGATTTTGCTCTCTGAAACGTGGTATCAGGAATTTCAGCACAACTTGAAATGGTCGAAGATTGCATTCTGAGATGTTTAAATATAGTTAAAAACTGGGATGATCGAAAATCTCAAAATACAATTATTATGTCGATTCATATATGACACCTGTAGTTTCTGTATATTGTCGGTACACTCAGAATCGTTGACATGATATAAAATGCGGAATGGTTAAAAAGAAATTTTGTTTTTATTCTCCTAAAAACTTCTGTATACTTGTTCAGTTCATTATGAATATCGATTGATTACTACTTACTAGAGCGCTATTTTATGAGAATACTAAAGCTGAAAACTAGCTTTATCGAGAGATATTCTATAAAACCTATATGCCCTCAATCTGTATTCTAGAGTGCTCACAGACAGGATACTGTCGAGTAAAAACTTATACCACGCATAGATGTTCCAGTCACATCGAAAAACCCTTCTTATCAATCGAAGTTAACTCTACGAATGTCCATAATGCTACTATTGAACAACTAGAAATTTAATCTGACTATCTTCACACTCGGAAAAGATTTTCTAAATAAATAGATCCTCACTTATGCTAAAAAACGAAGTATCCGAGGAAAAACTCCCAAATATCAATGAAATGACATTTCAATAAATCATATAGGTTTTATAGAATATCTCTCGATAAAGCTAGTTTTCAGCTTTAGTATTCTCATAAAATAGCGCTCTAGTAAGTAGTAATCAATCGATATTCATAATGAACTGAACAAGTATACAGAAGTTTTTAGGAGAATAAAAACAAAATTTCTTTTTAACCATTCCGCATTTTATATCATGTCAACGATTCTGAGTGTACCGACAATATACAGAAACTACAGGTGTCATATATGAATCGACATAATAATTGTATTTTGAGATTTTCGATCATCCCAGTTTTTAACTATATTTAAACATCTCAGAATGCAATCTTCGACCATTTCAAGTTGTGCTGAAATTCCTGATACCACGTTTCAGAGAGCAAAATCTTCTCTATGAAACCTGCTATGCCACTTGATTTCCAAATATAGCTTTAAAAACTTCGTAAATGTTAAGCTTAGGCACTATCATTTTTGTAGTGAACTTTATTGTAGTTCTAAAAACAACCTATTTCAGAAAGGATAAAAACAAATGTTTCCATGCTGAGAATTACACCGTATCTTGAGCTACAAGATTATATTATTAGAATTAATTTCCAAAAAAGATTGATAAAAACGTCCTTATAGCTGCTTTTCGGATTTTTTATTTTCCGCTTAAATTTGCAACCATTATATCTCGCGAAAGGAACGTTTGTTTAAAATGAATTTTTTACCATAAAAGTAACTCACCAAGTTCTACAACATAAGCACATATTCAGTCGATTCAAACATAGTTGTGTTTTTGTGGTCGAAACCCCATGGCATAGGCCGCATTGACTAAGTGGCGTTACACAGTGATTAATATTGAAAGTTAAATGCATTTTATTAGCACACTTGATTAAGCTGGTTAAAAAATGACTCTTTCAGCGTTGAAGATATCCATAGAAAACATAGACCTTTGCTTGCATGTTCTATTTTATTTAGAAAACAGTAATCTTTTTAAGGCTTTATTAAAGATAATCGACAGGCGGGGTAGGGGGCAGTGTCCTTCATTTAACAGTTTGAGAAGCGAAAAAGAAAACAGGAGGTATTATTGTGTGGTGGAAAGCAAGTTTAGCAGTTAAATTGATGAAAAACTATTTCAACAATCTTTCATCTTTGTAAAATCATTGATAGAAAGCATTTCAATTAGCAGATTGACTATTTGATCTGTGTTTCATTTTAAACGAGGATTGTTCTTGCAGAAAGGAAAAACTTCGGATGTATAAAAATTAACTGAAAATATAGATTTTTTGCGTGTTAAAGTGGGTATATTTAAAGGTCTCGAGTTTTGCTTTGACGCAAAATAAAAATCTTTAGCTTCGCTCTTAGTCGTATCAGCATTTGCATGCACGTCAAGAAATAGTAATGAGCGGGATATCAGCAGAGAAGACCTTCAGAAAAAAAGTATATCGGGTGCTTTCTTAATTAATTAAAAATATAAAGTATACTAATACTCTATTAGAATGCGAAATATAATAAAAACAAACATCGTATAATTTCGTCAGTATATCGACTAATTCCTGTGTTAACTAATATTGATTTAAAATGGCATTTCTATACAAAACGACTTAATCACTTAATAATAGCTGAAGCTAAACGATTCACTCCTAATTATTTCTTGAGAATATCCTACCCTTTCTGAAAAAGGAGAAAAATCACATTTTTTAAATATTACTGCCGATTCAAATTCTCCTACCCGGTATGGTGACTGATACAGTTTTTGAACTGATAGAATGATTCGGCAATTATAATTGTAAATCAGCTGCATACATGCATACGTCTAAAACAAAACCGTGGTTTTCTTCATATTACATTCACTACAGTTGAAGGAATAAATTGTTATTATCTGTAAATTCTTAAAAGTCAATATATGATCAATTATGCTCAACAATTTGCAACACCAACGGTAGGTGTAAATAGAGAGAATAGCCATTTCTGCTTCATAAACGAAATGTGTCGAGAATCTAGGTAGTCGTCAAATGAATGGCCTTCTTATTTCTCTATTAACATACATGAAGAAAAAAATCAAGTTACATATATTTCCGTTCCGCTTCACATGTAAAGAAAAAGAAACATACCGCATGATTGGTATTCTTATTTTTAGTGCAAGGTTCCAAAATTAAGAAATATCTAGTGGAAAAAACGATCAAGGTTATCTTCATACAAGAAATAATGTAAATTGATCTTAACTGAGAATTTCTTAGGTGAGTCCAAAAGTAGTTGCGGAGGTATGATAATCCTTCAAAAGAGGGTTCAAAAATTTTGTTTTCGTATACAGTCTGATAAAGAAAAGAATGCTCTATTTTTCTATGCTATTTGATCTTATTCAGACTAATCCTATGATATTAAAATTAATATAATACTTGTTTTGATCGGACGTGTGCTAGTTGTAGTATATCATATTCTGTGCTTTATACGCGTAATATTCTTGCCATTCTCTTTTTTCTTTGTTTTTCGTCTTCCTCCGTTCCAAGGCGCTTATACATATCAAGATATGCAATGTCCAATGACGTCAGAACGAAAAATATAGAGCTCACCAAGTTCTTATTTCATCAAACGTTGGAAGAAATCGCCGCAATTATTCACGCATAAGTACATTTGTTGAATCCATTTATTGAATGTTTTTCTGTATTCTTCTTTACTTACGGACTTTATGAAGTCGGATACAGCCTGATGTAACGATTCTGAATTATTTTGACTGGGTATATTTTGTTTGATAAAATCGAATAGCCAAAAATCATACGGTGCCAAATCTGGAGAATAAGGTGGATGTTTGATTATTGTAATACATTCTGATTC